CTCAAAACATTTTCTCTCCATTTAAACCCCCGACATTAGGTCCTCATTTTTCCCCTCCCTCCCCGCTCCCCCCTCCCGCGATACTGACTTCTTTTTCTACAATTCAGCCTATGCCAAAAGTTGGGTTGCTTTGGTAATGACATTATTTACAAAAACCTCTGATTAAATGGTAACTTTTTGGTCATTAAATTATGCTACCTGTAAAAACGAGCAAGTTATGAGAAAACAAGCTGATAGTGAGAACTACTTCAGAATAATGAATTAGAGAGTCAGAAAATTCAGATCCAGTGTCCCTATAGTGGATTACATTTTTATTCTGGGTTCTAAGATTCATAGGCATTGAAGGGGAAATCCAATATAATCAACATAAAATATTCATAGGCAGAAATACAGACCAAAACATTTTTAAATTTGTAACAAGAATTACAGGAAATAATTTCCAAGGAAAAGTTGGGCTAACCAGAACATCATACTAAACATGTTGATTTATAGAGTGATTTTAAGATGAAAAAATTCTAATGGTTTCCATTGGTTCTGGATTTGCCTGAAAAATGTTGTGATTAACTATGGATAAGTTTATTTATTTTCTTATTACCCTTAAAAGTTTGGGGGGGAAAAGTGTGAGGCTTTTAAAAAAATTTTTATGTTTGATTATTTTTCTGGTTTCCAAATTGTTATGCTGCACAAAAATGAAAAATTAGCAATATTTTCATTTTTATTATTTTTAACTAAGATGATATTTTGTGGGTGTAATTTAGTAGAACTTCTGAAAACATGCTTTTCTCTTTGGAGGTCAGTGTGAGCAAGGTCTCTATAACCCATGCTCCAAGCTGAAAGAAGCAATGCAAACCCAAAGCGTTACAGCTAAGAGTGATGTAGGAGTTAATTCTGAACATAATTCATAGGATAATTTTTAAAGGAAGCAATCTGAGCTGCAGGCATGCAGGTGGACTGTCTCAAAACACAGAGACCTAACTAATGGGAACATGTTACAAGCCATAGAGATTGGGAGCCTCATACCTAATCTAATAATTCCCAATCTAGATAGTAGACAAAAAATATGCCACAGTTAGTTTTTAGGAAGGGGGCATATATTGAGAAATAAAAACTAAATATGCAATAGGGAGTATGAAAATCTAAAACCCTGGAAACCACTTCCAAACTCAACACCAGCATTCATTGATTTGCAAGGCGAAATGCATACATATGTTTGAAGGATTTCTTCCACACAAAACATGTGGAAGTCCTGAGACTTTGTACTCAAAATGTTTTTAATTTGAACCATCCTAAGAGAGGTACTTTTGAAATTCAACTATCTTAATAAACTATCTTCCAGAGATAGTTTCATTAAAAGTACCAGTCAGTAAATTCAAAGAAAATACACACCTTTCTTCATTTACAATCAAGAAAAGTAGACCGTCATCCAGCACTAAGTAGACTGCTCTGCTGCTAGAATTTGGAAGTGACAGTGAAAAACAAAACTAAAAAGAACAGAGTATTGACTTACCATTCTGAAGCAAACTCCTGGAAGACAAATGAGAAAGAGAAATGTTAGCATGTCTATCTTTTATATATATACATATATATTTTTTTTTTCTTACTTAACTATTATCTAGCTTACTAAATGTAAGGAGTCCTATTAGTACTGTGGGTTAGTATAGGGCAGCTAACACCCAGTCAGGGGTTCAAATTCACCAGTCACTCCCCAAGAGAAGGATGGCGCTGTTTGCTCCCTTGACACCCTTCATGGGGCCACTTCGCATTGGAGTCAATGCAATGACAGAGGGTTTGGGGCTTGCTTGTGTGTGTTTGTTAAATGAAGCAAATAAAATGAACAGAACTTCTACTATCTGAGTGTATTCTGAAGGTGTTTCTTGTCCCCACCCACCCAAGCCTATGTTCCTGTTCTTTAAAGATGAAAAGAGAAACGGAAGACTCTTGGGGGGAAACACCATCCTGAAAGGACACGATAATGAAATACTGAACAACAGAATTAATCTAAGTGCCAAATAAAACAAAACCACTTATAATAACGCTACGTACAACCGAAGGAAACACTGCCCAGCGCCGTGACACCTCACAATGGTTACACGTGAGCCCATCGCTGCAGGCACCTTGTCAAACCACCTTGTCAAGGATCGTCCTCCTTTCACTGCTCCTCCACCTCACCAAGCATGATGTCCTTTCCCCCGCAGGACTGGTCTCTGACAGAATGTCCAAAGTGCATGTGACAAAGTCCTGCCATCTTGCTTCTAAGGTGCATCCTGGCTGTCCTTTTCCAAGACAGACCTGTTTGTCCTCTTGGCAGTCCATGGTACTTGGCATATTTTTCGCCAGCACCAAAACGCACACGCACCCATTTTCCTTCAGCCTTCTGCAGTCAATGCCCAACTTTCCCAAGCGTCTGAGGCAATAGACATTACCATGGCTTAGGTCAGGCACACCGTAGTTAGTCCTCTAAAAGTGTATACTTGCTTTTCAACCCTTTAAAGAGATTTTGAGCAGCACGCTGTCTCAATGTAAATGCATCACTCAGTCTCTTGGCTGCTGCATATCGCAGGTTAATAAGCCTTCCTCCAATCCTGATGCCGAATTAATTTTTCCTCATATAATCCAGCTTCTTTGATTTGCTCAGCATACAGATTGACTTACACTTTCTTGAAGTTAAACCCTGCAATATTCCCTTGCTATGTTCATATAACTGCCTCTTGGTCCATGTACAGGTTCTGCATAAGCCAAATGAAGTGTTCTAGAATTCCCATTCTTCTCAAGTAGAAAGATAAGATTTTCTACTACCATTTCTACTTACCATCTAAGGAACCCACGGGGGCAGTTCTACCCTTTCCTATAGGGTCACTATGAGTGAGAATAGCTTCAATAGCAGTGAATTTGGCTTTCTGGTCAATAAGTTCAAGGAGAAATAAAATGAAAAGATGATAGAAAATTTCCACAAACTCTTTGAAGCCCCCTCAAATCTTGATTGTGGGAGTGGTTATGTAACTGCGTATTTGTCCAAAACTCATTGAATAGACACTAAAAGGGGTTAATATTAACTGAATGCAAATTAAACCTCAATTTTTTAAAATTAGGGAATAAAAAAACACTGGGAAATCACAGGGGATAGATCAAACCAGCTCCTGAGAGACCAAAAGATATTGCTTCTACAAACAACAGTGGAAAATATAGTTGAGTGTAGTTAAGAAAATATCAAAGGGATAATTGTATGTGGTTTTATTTTTGTTTTTTTGTATTTTTTTTTTGTTTTTCTGTATGTGGTTTTATAAGGAAATTTGTAGTAATAAGAGATATCAGTTGTTTCATAATGGTACCATCTTGTTGTACCAAAGAAAATGAGCAATAAAGATAGGATACTATCACATGAGGAATTTTTATAGGGTTATAAAAATATTTTAAAAGAGCTGCACATAAAATGTAGAGGAATGATGAGTGGGAAATATTGATCTGAAGGACAATCAAAAAGGCAATCTTTTATATGCATAGAAGGAAAAATATTAGCAGACATAAAAAGAACTGTCAGAAAATGTAAAAGAGACTCTTAAGGTCAACCAGGTCATGTAGAGGAAAGAGGAGGGGAAAAACAGGGCAGGGAGCAGGCAGAGCTGTAGAAAAACCTGCAGTCTTAGCGGGAGATAGAGGGGATTTCCCAGGCCACAGTATGACACCAGGCAGAGTTGCAGCTATTGGGCAAAGCTTTAGTGTGCATCCTCTCTTCTGGGTGACTCAATAGTGAATGCCCCGTCGCATATTGTTATTGTTGTTGCTAGGTGCTATGTAGTCAGTTCCAACCCATAGCAACCCTATGCACAACAGAACACTGTGCCATCCGCGCAATTGTTCCTATGCCTGGGCCCACCCACTGCTGCAACCATGGTGTCACTCCATCTCACTGAGGCCCTCTCCCTTACCAAGCAGGAGCAGCGTGATAAGAAAGCACATACTAACAGAAGTAAAGAGAAGTAACTGTTCTGGTCCTTCCTCACAATCACCCTTCGACAGTAAGGCCCCTCTGGCCCATGCCGAATCTGGCTGTGTGTTCACTGTCCCAGACTGCCACGTAAAACTCAACCCTCCTTTTGGCAGGTCCGAGAAACACCCCCAGCCTTCTCATCAAGAGAGACACTCCCAGTGAAAACCTGCCTCTTAAATTTTGTAATGTTTATTATCATTTGAAATTTATTCACATTCGTTTCATCAACTGTGTCCCAGTCATAATCATAATAGGAACTACATCCAGAAGGCAATTTTCTGATACTTATAGACTTGTGGTCAAAAGAAATCAATTTAAAATATTATATGTGCAGGCACACACATACACAAATATTGCCGGAAAAGTCTGATAGGATGACCAGTAAAAAAATCTCAAGTATAACAACTGGATGGAATTCTGTAGGAAAGCTGAATGGAAATCAAATTCAACCGAGCAATTACATAAAATTTCCCAATTGTTAAGGAGCATTGCCTGAAAGAATGTAGACAGTAAGTCACTTTAGTGATTAATACCGCAAAGGATCAATTTCAGAATGATTTACTATTTTAATTGACGAATATCAGTGTTTACAACAAGCCAGAGATGACATTTGGAACTAATAAACAGAGTTTTTGAAATTTAGAAAACTTAATAATTCTTCTAATGGCTCCATGAAGGATGCGGGTAGGCCCTCAAACACCACCCAGGTGTTCTCCCTAAATTCAAACAGAGCCCTGAGGTTGCAGGGGCAAACGATGCCGTACCCCCACCGCACCGCACCCCACCGCAGGGCGCGTCCGCGTGCCCGCGTGCCCCCGCGCCCGCCCCGCTTCCCGGCGCATGCGCACTCCGCCCCTCCGCCCGCCGCTGCTGTGTCACGGCTGAGCGGAAGTGCGGCCCGCCGGGAAGGGATCCTCAAAGGGGAGGCGCCTCTCGCAGCCGCGGCCCTTCTCCCTTACGCTCTCCTCGTCTTCACCCGCCCGGGAGCTCCCTACCCTGCACGTTGCCGAACACTTCATAGTCCACGGACTTGAGCGACCCGTTGGAGGACATGGTGGCG